TTAACTATAATTTTCTGAGTTTCCTCTCCTTCTTCTGCATACTTTTAGCATCAAAACAAAGCAAAAAGTAAGTGTGATTTGCTACCGAACTTTGTGTTCGCTGAAACACTGGGGTTTGAAGTACCACTACACCAGTGTGTAATTCGTTCTATCCTGGGAGGAAATAATCCATAACCTTGGGTACTAGGAGGGGATTAAATTCCTTAAGGAAACACTGTGAATTCAGTGGGCTCGAATTGGTTTATGTCATTTCTGTTTATATTCATTACTGTTTATATTCATTTATATTTCCAGAATTTATTTTACAAATACAGTGTAATAACATTTCAAAGGTGAAAAGCGGCATAAATTGGAACAAAGGGAGTATGATATATGTTCTAATTAGTCATTTATCTTCAACTTTCTATATCCAGAAGAATTCTCTGGCCAGAGTTATTTCAAGAATCTAGCTGAGCAGAGTTTCAGGTCACAGCCATAATATAAGCCTTTTTAGCCTTTAATTTGTCAGCCATAATACCATTGACAAACATGATTATACGATAGCCATCGAATATTAATTGCCTATTTGCTTGGCCAAAGTTTTGAGCTTTATAGCTATACCAAACCTGCTCTTTCAACATGTGAGGGTCATTCATTTCATTAAATATCAAAAATTTGTGTTCTATTACTGAAAGGGCTTAAAGATTGCCAGAAAATAAGAATAAAACGTCAAATATAGGGATTGGTTGAAATTATCAAATTAGAATGAAAATATTTTCCAAACAACTAAACAAGAGGTCTGAAGTTCAACTAAAACGAAACAAAGAAAATGTGATTTCTACTCATCTACCTAAAATTTAGTAGGCAGAGTCAAAGGCGAATCCAAAATCTCAAGAAGATGGGTGCACTATTGTGAAGAGATGGTTTAGAATTTACATTTAACATGTTTAACTTTAGTTTTTTTACCTTGAACTCACTACATTTTTAAAATTACAGGCTCAAAATTATATTTTTTTTGAAATTTTAGTGATTTTAACATCTATATTTGTACTTTGTGCCGAAAACATGATTGTCCCATATAGGATTTGAACCGTCAATTTCACTTGTAGAAGTGCACTTAATAATTATGCACCATAGGAGTCTTTGAGCATGGGTGCACACACATATATTTAAGTATTTTTTAAAGAAATATAATACTATTATATATGGTTTATGACGAGGAGCATGAGTTCATGTGAACCCACGTCCCTTAACCTAGATACGCCCCTGGGCAGAGTTCTTCGATATGTGGAAGATAACATGTACCTACTGGAATAGTTAATATGCATGCACACCACCATCATAAAAAGATATTTCCCCGATAACAACAGTATAAAATGGAGTTAAAGTGCATATATAGAGAAGGACGCAGGGGCGGATGGAGTGTTGTTACGCTGGTTTCATCTGAACCCAAAACTTTTTATGTGGAGTATAAATTTATGTGAAAAATATAGTACTAAAACAACAAATAATAGGTATGAACCATAATTATAAAAATACAATGGGTTCAATACAAAAAATCTTAAAGTTTAAATAATGAATCCGGCTCTGGGAGGAAAAGAGGAGTAGGGAGGGGTTAAGTAGTAGCCTAGGGGTGGGCGAAGAAGTAGCCATGGCCATTTCATGTTTGGACATATCCCTCCGTGTAACAATATCTGCTCATTTTAAGAATGTCAGGAAAATAACATATTCCAAACTCGAATCCAACCACAAGACTTAAGGTTCCAAGAGAATCAAGAATACACCGAAAATGAGATTGAATAACTCCAGTTGTAAAAATAAAACCTTGGTGAAGTCGAACCAACCAGAACAAGGATTAACTTCCAATACAGTCATGATTCTCGTTATAAACTCAGATACATCTCGAAGTTGAAAAATAACTTTACCACAAACATTTTCTTCTCATTTACTATTATTCTTTTAATACTCAAAGTTGACTAGTAGATTTATTGCTCGAGTCTCTATTGTAGCTTCTGAGACTTTTTGCCCTAATAGAGTAACTTTACTTTAATTAAGCTTTACATTCTATCACGCAAACGTTTTGATACCAAGTACTCCCTCCCTCCGTTTTAATTAATGTGAACCTATTTGACTGGGCACGGAGTTTAAGAAAAATGAAGACTTTTGGAATTTGAGGTCCTAAACAAGTTAAAAAGAGGCCCAGAGTATTTGCGTAGTTATAAAAGCTTCTCATTAAGGGTAGAATTATAAGTTTAAGCTAAATTGCTTCCAAATTTAGAAAGGGGTCATTCTTTTTGGAACAGACCAAAAAGGAAATAGGTTCACATAAACTGGAATTGAGGGAGTACTAACTTTTATCTGTATTACTCCCTCCGTTCACTTTTACTTGTCAACTATGGTCTTTGCACACCCTTTAAAAAATAGTAATAAATAAAGTGCATAATTTACCATAATATCCATATTAATTGATGTATATTTTTAGTGACTTTGAAAAATGACTTGAAATGAGTAACTAATACTATGGGTATAATAAAATAAAAATAAAAAATAAATTGTCTTCTCTTGATATGCTAAAAGTGACAAGTAAAAGTGAAAATTTATTTTTAAAATACTGAACAAGTAAAAGTGAACGGAGGGATAGTTACTAAGCTGCTTTTTAATGTGTTATAAACTCAAGATTGGAAAAGCAAAGCTATCTTGCTGTAGCTACGGTTAGGAAGATATGCGCCTAGTCCAGTTAGGCAATACTGCCAAATATTTTTCCTGTTCTAAATCATTTGACACTTTTTCTTATTTAAAAAGTTTAAAATATTTGGAACCGGCATTCATTCAATAACAAGTACTACCATTACGAGGAATTTACACGTAATACAACTTATTTAGTACTTAATTAAATAAGTTACAACTACTTCTAGAAAATTATATAAATTCAATTTGTTTTAATCTACAACTTTTCACTTCCTTAAAATCTCTCCCTTGAGATTCTCTTACCTAAAACTATCCTAATATATATCTCTTGGCATTCTCTTTCACCTAAAACTAGTAGTCGTACCCGCGCGATGCGCGGTAAGTATTAAAAAATATTAATTAAATTAAATTATGATCAGGCTTGTTTGATTCTATTAGATTGTATTGCTTTAATAAGGGACAATTGTCATGTTACTTGTCAATACGATATACCCAATAATGAAATCTCTATTAAATCAAAGGTACTTATATAGTTAGTGAATAAGTTTTTTGTTCTATATATTATTTATTGTATTAACCAATATTTAATATTCGCTTTGAAATTTGTATAGATTCAAAGCTGCCATAAAACAACAAAGTTCACCTTGACATTAACGTAGATAGCTTGATGGAGATAGAACAAATGTAACAGTGAAATAAGCAATAAGTAACCAACAATGGCAAGTAGCCTCTTCACTAATTAACAATTAAATGGAGAAGTAAATTGAATGGACTTCTTATCTATATGAATAGGGAAACATTAATAACAGAAAGGACCATGAAAAGTTTTAAATATCTTGTCCATTGAAATCGCCACATTAAGTAAAACTGAAAAGTTAAACAGGAGAAGAAAGGTGAAATGATTCAAATATACTGTTCATAACTAATAAGACTACTAATAATATACTAAAGTAACTAATCAAACAGTTCTTGATTTCTCCAACTGTAACATTCTCAAACACCTTATGCTGTTTTCTTCTTCTTAAATACTCTCTTGATTTTATTTCCTGACAATTGTGCATTCGGATCTTCTTCAACCATTGTTGCGGCATTAGTTATACCTATCAACAGCGCCAGTATTCTAGAATGAAATTTTGAGTTAGAATTTTCCAAATAACAAATATGAATTTAATTAGTTGATATACCTGAAGAAACCCTTCCTTCAATTCTTTTGCGGATTTGCCTATGAGAAACATGGTTTCACGGTCCCAGAGCAATAGGGAAACAGATCCAGTAGTATCCATTACCCTAACCTGAAGCTTGTACCTAAATGCACACTTGATTTGAGATATAAATGTACGTTTTTGATGGATTAAGGAAATAGAGCTGCTGCTTTTACCTAATAACTGCTGAGTAATCTTCATTTTTACATTTGGGGTTTGGGCATTGATAAATATTTCCTAGTTTATCCACCTTCTTTTGACACTTCTTGCAGCTGACATACGACCATCCTTTTCCAAGTTCTAAATTTTCAATACTTGCGACAATCCAACAGGGACCTTCCTGTTGAATAAATTGATAAGACAATTGTTGAATAAATTGATAAGACAAATGTAATGAAAGACATAAAAAATATGGTGTATCAGAATATAAAAAGAATAACATAAATGTAATTCAACAATTTTTCATCTTCCAAATGAGCAACCACTCTTTCAAACCATAAAATAAGAGAACAAAAGGCCAAAACTAAACTTGAAATGTAATGTAAAAACATAGAAAAGATGGTCCATCTGGCGAGTCATTGACATGAGGAAAGGATAGGTAGGATTTAGAGGAACTGTGCCGACATGCCGTTGATCGCAAGCAAGGCGAATTAGTTGATATCAATTTGTGCGGATAAGTTGCTTTTTTACATAGCAGAAATTTATATTCTGTCATTTTTTAGTTTAAGATTACAGTGTAGGTGCATTGTTTGTTTGATGTTTGTTGTGTTTGTTTATTTGTTTATCAAAGAAAGAAGATAAATGTAATGTAAGAACTTTTCATATTGTAAATGGTCAATCCCTTTTTCAAACCATAAAATAAGAGAAAGGCAAAAAGTAAACTTGAAATGTAATGTAAAGACCTAGAAAAGATGTTCTTTCAGAATATCAAAGAAAGAAGATAAATATAATGTAAGAACTTTCCATATTCTAAATGCTCAACCCCTTTTTCAAACCATAAAATAAGAGAAACAAAGATGTGCATTTTTCCAACTTTTAACATGAAAGACCAGTTAAATTAATACTACACAAGTTAGTTCACTCACTTGCATGGACTCCACTAATTGGCCAATTGTTTTAACTTGAACAATACCCTTCTCCAACTCATCCGAGACAGAGTAACTTTGTTGAGAGATGGTTTTAGTCAGCCTCTCGGAGTTATTATCCCGAACAGAAAGTAATCTATATTTATGAATGACTAAAACAGTTAGATGTATACTTGGAAAATTTGATTTGAGTATAGAAGCAGTGCAATTTTATATATATAAATCAATATATATATATATATATATATATATATATATATATATATATATATAAATCAATATATATATATATATATATATATATATTGAACCGTATTTTAAATTCGTCAGATTGAGGAAAATTTGGATTAATCCACAGCTTTGATGCATTCCAAGTATTGCGCACAGAATATGAATCTACAAAACAACGTTCGTGTAAGATATAATGAATAACTTTCGCAAAGTAATGTCAAATTGAGTAATTGTATTTTACCTTGAAATTTATGGGCTTTTATGAGCTGCATAACAACAATAATAGGCTGGTTGTTAGAACTTAGCAGATGAGGTACAATTTCATCAACAAACTCGCCCCAAAATGTAGCAGACAACTTCTTCCTCCTGTCAAATAGAAATAAAAATATAATTTTAGCATATGTAATTATCAAATCCATCCTTAATTAGTAGATGAATGTTTATTCTTACTCATCATCTTCTAGTTCAATATCCATAAACTTCCTAGAAATTCCACCTTGGTTTTGCGTGTGTACCTCACTGAAATTGACAATTTCTCCAATGACATCTAAAGAAAAAGAAATTGTTAAAATAAATAGTAGAAAAGTTCATAATTAGAAATTTAAGGTAAAAGTTATATTTATCAAATAATTCAGTCCCGTTCACATCAACCTTATTTATCAATTGATCATATGGTCGCAAATCAAAGATATTCATTGAGAAAAGTGGATCAGTTGTTTCAGCCACTGTTGTCCGTTGAGTAAACGTCAGCCTCAACCTATGTTTCGTGGTGTTGAACTTCTCCTTATTATGACAAACGATAAAGTTCGCCATATGATATAATCCACGCTCAGTAATTTGTGTTTTGAAAAAATGCAAAACTGACTTGTCAATAGAAGCACTTATCCGATCCGCCTACAAAGAAATTACATTAAATAACAGAATGGAAGCTGACTGATGTTTGATCAAGTCTCCCTCCAAATGTGATGATTGTCCATTCAGTTATGGCTGCATAATTTTCTCCTGATCTCTGCAGGTGCAAGTATTTGTATCTACTTTTTGATGATTCATTTCTCCTTAATCAAAATTACATATTTACAACTGAGGGTCATCCCCTGCCTGTTAGACACAGTTGGCATGAGAGGCTTCCTGAGGCTTATAATCTAAGTAATGGAAGTTCTGTCAAGGTATAATTTCCTTCCCACTAACAATTGTGTTTGATTATGTTAAGATTGTATCGTATAGGAATTTCAGCATTAATAATATTAAGCTATATCAAATAAGAAAAACAAAAATTTCAGAATCACAAATTACTAACTCAAACACATAAAGCACCAAATTTAAATTTGAAACTTAAGAAACAGAGAGCAAAGCGAATGAGTAAGAAAATAACTTATTTTTAATACCTTTTCATCTTGTAGAACCAATTTGATCATGCCCAACTATGCCTTCTAAAAAAGAACTCTGCGGACGTTGCAAATATAACCCGAGTATTACGCCCAGGGTCGAATCCACAGAGAGTTAACCTATCAACCGCTATCTTCAAACCCACCAAGTATTCAGCACCAGCTTCTCAAACATTCAAATTCTCAGTTGAGTGTTCTTTAACAACTAGCTTGCAAGTAACTAAATGGTTGTAACTAAATTAATAAGGTTGTAAACAATTATGGGACAAAGCTAAGGCAATGATTTTCCCTATTGATGGAATCCCTCCTGTTTATGCTCATACAAATTTACCCACTCATCTCTATCAATCTTGAACGCTAATCTTACCGCAAATCTCTCCCGAGTAATCACAGTAATCTACTATTGCACTCTCCCGAGATACACTAACTTGCTTTATTTAGCACAATTCAATTTAGATTGCACCCAAGACTTCGTTATTCCTAATCCCGCCTTTAAACCCGCAATTATAGATTCCTCTAATAATCTAGGAGTGGTGTTGTTCAACAATACCCTAAATATGCACTCTTTTCCAAGTTATGCACACTAAATAGGTACAGCTATTTGAGGATCCTGTCAATTAAC